GTACTGATCACACCACCCTCCCTTAACCCCCCAACCACCTCCCTCACCGTTCTAATGCCGCGTCCCTCAGACAGGCCTGGCCTTGGCCTCAGAGAGGCATCCCCCATGCCCCCCCTGGCCTTCCCTGTACCCCCTAAAAATTTCTTAAAACACCCCACTAGGAAAGCTCTCAATTTTTTCCTTTTCAGTTCCCTTTTTGCTTCCCTTTTTGCTGCGCTCCTCTGCGGGTTCCACACCCCGTCATTGAGGGCGGCCCACAAGGTTGTACTGGGCCATGCCTGCGCGAGGGGGGAATCGCGCAGGGCCAGCAGTTCCGACCTGGAGTAAGCTCCAAACATGAACACGAGGTCCAACAACAGAAAAACACGGGGGGGGGAAACAAGTCCTCCTGATGGCCAATTTCCATTCCGAGACCTGAGATAGGTGAGACGACCAGCCGCTAAAGTTGAATCCACGGCCGGGTTCTTCGGGCCGGATCCTCCACCGGGCCGCCGGGCCGCCGAACCATGGCCTCCACCCTCGCCGGGCCCACCGCCGAGTCCGCAGGCCGAGCCCGTAGGCCGGATCCTCCGCCAGGCTGCCAGGCCGCCGGGCTACGGCCTCCATTTCTCGCCGAGCCCGCAGGCCGAACCGCCGGCCGAGTCCGAGGCCATCACGGCCTCCAAATCCGCCAGACTGCGGCCTCCGCCCCCGCCGAGCCACAGGCCGAGTTGCCGACCAGGTCCGCATCCGTCGCGGCCTCCACAGCCATCGCGGCCTCCGAATCCGGGTCCGTCGCATCCATCGTGGTCTCCACAGCCGTCGCGGCCTCTGAATCCGAGTCCGTCGCGGCCTCGGCTGTCATCGAGGCCGCGGGCCGAGTCCGGACCAGGTCTTCCGCCGGGCCGGATCCAGGGCCGAGTCCGGGCCAGGTCTTCCGCCGGGCTCCGGCCTTCGTCCCATCAATATCCTCGCCGGGCCGAGTCCTCCGAAGACTAGGAAGTCACACGGCAGGCACCAGGTTACCGGCGAGCTCAGCTCTCCGAATTGGGGTCGCGGCGAAGCCCTCGACCCTCGGGAGGCCCCCCATTTCTGCTGAGGACTCCGCTCCGTCACGGAGCCACCCCCGGTAGGTCCGCCATGCTTTCGCAGTAGAAGCAGTAGATTGGACATTCACCTGTCTGAGATAGTGTAGGTTCCTCTTCTTTAGCAGGGGGCTGGACTAGAAGACCTCCAAGGTCCCTTCCAGCTCTATTCTATTCTATTCTATTCTATTCTATTCTATTCTATTCTATTCTATTCTACTGTTGAAGAGAGATCATCACACTGGCAGAATAAATAAAACAACCACTCAGTGAGCCAACCTTTCTTCTGGATTACAGAAAAAAAAGAGGAAAATAATATTTGAAAGACTTTAACAGTAAAAACGTTAATAGGATTTTGACTTAAGAAAGCCATAAATGGGTAAAGAGGATTGTATAAATCTGAAATATGTTGATGAAAGTGCTTGTAACATTATTTGGAATTAATTAAACAAAAAGTCCTGGCCTTCATGGAAATGTTGGCTGTTGTTTGCCCAAAATCAAAGGGAAAAGACAAATTGTGGATATTACAAAATAAGATAATAACTGTAATTAGAGATGGACTGTGTGGCTGAAATTATGGAGAGTCAGATCGTAGCATCTGCAGGACATTACTACTTTTGTCAGGCTGAAAAACGTACAATGTCACATTCAAGTCCAGCCACCTTTGGGCATGTATGCAATGTGGTGATGCACATACACAAAAGAGGTATGTATCATACCCAGCTGCACAACTTCAGAGTGGTCCTCTGAAGCTTCCCACCCATCCCCCAGTTCTAGAAAGCACCCTGAAATCAGACTAGTCTGTAATTGTAACAAGGTACATGAGGAAACCGTCCACAACGGGAGAAGCTTCAAGCCATCGCGTTGTATGGGTGAGAGAAAGTAACACAAGAATTTAAACTTCGATTTCAATATAAATAGGGCTCATACTTGATACATGGCAGTTGATGGAATTCTTTTATTATGACTTCATTTCTTCTAACTTATGTATCAGAGAGATATGCATCCATTTGTCTCTGGCTATGCTATTTCCACAGCTAGTGTCTGCTGTGAGCAGCCTCGTACCTGAGGGAGGCCAACCGATGTCCCAGGCAGCTGACCTATGGGGAAAGGGAGCCACAGGTCACGCCGACTTCAGTGCCTGGCAAGATTCTGAAGCAAAACGTAAAGAAACCAGCAGGGGCTTGTTCAGAGCAACTGGGCCAAGCCAGCCTCGCCACATTGTTTAACTGAGTAACTTCCTTAGCAGACTGTGGGAATGCTAGAGATACTACAGAACATGAGACATAAGCAGAGGATTTGACAAAGCACTTCATGCATTCTGACCCTCATGTGTGTACTGTAGGGTAATGAAATGAAGAAAAGTTGGATTGAAAATTATATTTCAAACTGTGATCTATCAGTATAAAGTAGAAGTGTATTAAAGTTCACTTCTGAATCTTACGCTTTTAAAAAAAAAATGTTAATTACCAAGGTAAAAAGGTAGAGGAAATTTTCATCTTATTTGCCAATGATTCCAAATTAGAAGTCACACGTATGTAAATGCATACATACTCATCACCCTATTCCCTTTTTGGATAAATAACATTTTGCAAAATTCAGGTAAAAGATAAGAATTGTTAAACAAAAAAAATAGTGTAGCAACACAAGTCGTTACGCCTCTTCATATGTTTTTATCTTTGCAAACTATCTAACATTTGTTGCAAATAATTTCGGTTTCCAACTAGCAACATAACATCCTGTGGCAATAGTTGTACAGACCAGATTTTTGTTCTACAGCAGATCATTTAGACATGTATGAAAGTGAGAAAGAAAGTTGATTGTACGTTCGTTGATTTACAAGAAGCACATGACAAGGTGTAAGTTATGGATCATTTTGCAGGACTGTGAAATCAAGGGTTGGTGGCTGAACAGAGTAAGAGCAACAAAGGATGGAATTCAAGCATGCAAGAGAACAAACGAAGCCCTTGGTGAATGGTTCAGCAAGAAGCAGGAAGGAAGACGTGAATGTGTGATGATTTGGGGATAAACCTATCACAGGATGGAGGAGAGGCTTCCTTGGAGCCTAGCAATACTCCTAAGAGACATCATCCAGGTGGTCAGGCCTGCTGTTGACCAGGAACACATCTGGAATCGGACAGCTTGAGCATACCCCAGCATTCCCAGTTTTGGTTTGGCAACATTAGTGACTAGTGTGGTCCTTATTGCATAGCAAGATTACCCTGCTCTATAGATAGGGCTTGTGCACAGAAATGTCAGTGCTTCGGAATACGGCTGTCTAGAGGTGTGCTTATTGCAATGAACCTTTAAAACATGCCCATGGCCTCTAGTGCATTTCTGGGTAAGCTTCCGAATGCTGCTTTCAACTCACATGGCTGCATACCCAAAGTTTCCCTTCTTCCAGAAGAGCCAGCTCGTTCCTTGAGAGGTTGGCTATTCCTGGCTCTGGGGAAACCACCTAGCCAGGCACAACTGCCTACTGCGCCTGCATGCATTTCAGAGGGTGGATGTTATTCAGTGAGGCTGTCTCTGCTAGATGGTGAAGACCTGTGGTGGAGAAGCAAGGCATGAATATTTCAGGAACACACACTCACAGGGTCATTTGCAAGCTAGTGAAAAGCAATTTTCCCTGGTTTCTTTGCACTGGATATTTTTCAGTATTTGGCACTGCGATTTTAAGCACTTGACTGAACACATTTGAAGGAGTCTTCCAGCATTATTAGTCTGAGCATGAACCAGAATGCAAGCAAAAAAAAAAAGATGCTTGCCATTCATAAACACGTAACGGGGAATATCTTGGGCATCTCTCCAGATGGCAGCTTCTGCCAGGTCAGGAGAAAAAACAACCCAGGTAGGGCGATTCATCAATCCTAAACAGCAATGAATAGCCCTAATGGGGTTGTTTCTTCTCCTGACCTGTCTCATCTGTCTTCCAAGCACTCAGCCACCACCTAATTGTCCACTTTGGCTTTGCCAGCCATGAGGGCTGGATGTGCTCACTCAAGTCCAGCTGTAGGCTGCTGCTGAAGGCCAACCAGAGCCAGCCCTCGCCTGAGCAGGATGCCACCACCTTCCTGCTGTTCAGACCCACTTAGCATTCACCACCCACAAGTTTGTGTTGGGGGCATAAATGATGCTGACCTGAAACATCTCATTTCTTTGCCAGCTGATGGCAAAGAAGATTTTGCCATATTCCTTCACTATCTTGAGCCGCAGAAGGCCTCAAGGAGATTATGCATTTCGGTCTATTTAATCTGCTGTCATAAAACATGTCAGTATTATGTGGGATATTCACTTTTATAATTTAGGGCATCACTAGTTAAGCAAGTAGGTTTTGAAATGAACAAAAATTTTCAGCCAAGCTCATCCATTAAGTAAAGAGAGAGAGCAAACAAAAGGGCAGTTCTATGGCCCAATTGCATTGGATTGAGCAATATATTCTACATTATTGACTTCAGCTGCCTGCAGAATTTTACAAGAGGGAAGCTAGGAAATACGAACAGTTCTGGAAGAACAAAACTGTGGTTGAAAGGAATCCTCTTCATCACACACCTTTGACCCTTCCTCCCCCCTCCATGTGACTTTAACTAAAGCCTGGAGACTAAAACATAGGAAGAACGGCTGCAGGACTTGGGTTTGGCTAGTCTAAAGAAAAGAAGAAATAGGGGAGACATGATAGCAGTATTACAGTATTTGAGGGGCTGCCACAAAGAAGAGGGGGTCAGGTTGTTCACCAAAGCATCAGAAGGCAGAACAAGAAACAATGGTTGGAAACTGACCAAAGAGAGAAGCAACCTGGAATTAAGGAGAAAGTTCCTGACAGTGAGGACAATTAACCAGTAGAACAGTTCTGCCTTCAGAAATCGTGGGCGCTCCATCACTGGAGGTTTTTAAGGACAGTCACTTGTCTGAGATGGTATAGGTTCTCTTGCTTGAGTGGGGGGCTTGACTAGAAGACCTCCAAGGTCCCTTTCTATTCTATTCTATTCTATTCATGGTGCTCCCATCCCAGGTTCCACCCAGGGCAAGCTGGGACTCGCCATGCAGTCCACAAGTCCAGTTCCTGGGGTGGGGTGCCAGTACTTCATAGCTGTACAAGAGGCACTCAGAGAGCAGAGGGAGCAACCCAGCCAGGCCACCGGAAGTTCTCCTTCGCCACAGGCAGCGAAGGGGCCTGTAATGCTGCTCTGGCTCTCCGTGTGCAGGAGAGGATGGTGCCCCCGCAACACCGAAGGATGCGCCAGCAGAAGTCCTTTTTTTGTTTCCAGGTGAGAGACGCCCGTTACAGGGAGCTAAGCTACCAGAAGCCTCCCAAGGGAAGCCATTGGCTGCTGGGCCTGAGCGCTCTCCCATCTGTTCCTGGCAATGGCCCGGAGGGCAGAATTCGGTCTTTCAAATGGCAGATCGCATTCCTTTGTTTTTCCCACCTCCTGGCGTGCTGCCAGGTTGCCCCAAGAGCAGCCAGAGCACCTGTGCCAGAAGACGAGTGAAGGAAAGAAGGCTGTGTACAAAACGTGCCATCCCAGCCAAATGAACCACCAACATTTATCTGGATTCACAAAGCTGCCCAACTCGGGCAATGCAATTCTGGCATGCAGCAGACACACAAACAACAAAGTGAAAGAACATAAAACATGCACGACAAATACATGTAAAACAGAAAAAATGAAGTGATGACCAAACAAAATAATAGAAATCACCAAAAAGGAACTCTGCTCAACTGGAGCCAAACGCCTGGGGAGGAAGGCAAGTCTCTGTGGGGGCCCTGAAAGTGAGCAGAGTTGGGGCCCGTCATGTATCAGAGGGAAATCCTTCCAGTGCTCAGAGAGCCCCCCAAAGACCCCCTTCCTCCATCCCATCAAGTCGCAAAGTTTAAAAGAAGGTCAGCAGCCAGACTGCCATATATGCCCAACCAGAAGCCAAGCCCCTTCCAGCCCTCTTTGTTTATTTAAAGCATTTAGGCAGCCATGGCTAGAGCATGGTGTGAATGTCAGTCCTCGGCACCAGTTGCGTATTGCCTCCAACCGGAGTGACAAGGGAGGGGATCTTGGGGGCAACCACTTGGATTTGGAGTAGTCACCCTACAATTCTGGTCCTCAGAATCCCGGAGGCTGAGCGTCGTGGGGTGCATCTCCATTTTGCCTTGGGACAAGAGCTGCCGGTCCCCTCCCCAAGGCTTTCCCATCTCACAGGCTAGTGCTGGCTTCTCACCTTCCATCAGTCCCTTTACGTCAGGAATATTATTTATTTGTGAACAAACCTGTTTAAGTATTTTTATTTGTTTATTGAATTTATGTAGCTGTCCATCTCACTTCTGGGAAGTTCACACTCCCTTCAAATTAAAAAAAACCTACAAAATTTAACAACAAGAACCATTAAACAATAAAAAATATTAAAACCATAAAAATCATAATGTGCAGAAAGCACCATTCATTTTCTAACAGTCCAACCATTTTGCAGCTTCTGCATTGATGTCACCAATTCCCCAAACTAGATCCCCAAGCCACATCTTGAGGCCCTTTGGGAGGCCATCAAGGTTGGGACCAATCTGACCTGGGGGGGGGGAATGATCTTCCAAAGGATCACAGCAGAAAAGGCTCTCTTCCTGGATCCCATCAGATGCCATTACTTAATTAAAGGAATAACAGAATAATAAATTGGAAGGGACCTTGGAGGTCTTCTAGCCCAACCCCCTGCTCATGCAGGAAACCATAGACCATTCTGGACAAAAGGCTGCCCAGTCTCTTCTTAAAAGCCTCCAATGCTGGAGCACCCACAACTTCTGGAAACAAGTTGTTCCACTGATTAATTGTTCTCACTGTCAGGAAATTTCTCTTTAGTTCCAGGTTGCTTCTCTCCTTGATGAGTTTCCATCCGTTGCTTCTTGTCCTGCCTTTAGGCGCTTTGGAGAATAGGTTGACCCTCTCTTCTTTGTGGCAGCCCCTGAGATATTGGAAGACTGCTATCATGTCACCCCTGATCCTTCTTTTCATTAAATTAGATACGTCCAATTTCAGCAACCATTCTTTATATGTTTTAGCCTCCAGGCTTTTAATCGTCTTTGTTGCTGTTCTCTACACTCTTTCCAGAGTCTCAACATCTGTTTATATTGTGGTGACCAAAATTGGAGGCAGCATTCTAAGTGTGGTCTTAACCAAGGCATTATAAAGCAGTACTAACATTGACAGGACCCTAGTGGGGTGAGTAGAGGTGACAGGGAGAGTCAGTCCCTCAAGTAAACCAGTCCTGTGCCACAAAGGGCTTTATAGGTCATTAGCAGCACCTTGAATTGAACCCAGAAGCAAACTGGTAATTTGCAGTTTGCGAAACACACACCTTTGAGCTTCAGAAAAGCTTGCTGGGTCCTGGCAGGGAAAAGATGCTTGCAGAAGAGAACATGACGGGTACTGGAATTATTGGCTACTTTTTTCCCCAGAAAGGACCAGGGGATCCATTCTCTTAGACCTAATCCTAACCGATGGAGAAAAGCAGGTTGAATAAGGAGCTGTTCAGTCCGGTGGTTAAGACATTAGGCCAGAAGCCAGGAGACCATGAGTTCAAGTCCTCCCTGGGTGACTTTGGGCCAGTTCTTTTCTGTCTCAGCCCAACCCACCTCACAGGGTGGGGAAAACAGGAGGAAGAAGGTATGTTGGAGATAAAGGTGGGATACAAACCAGCAAACAAACCATTGGTAAAAGCAGAGAAAAGTTGAGGAGAAAGCAAACATGGCATCTTGGGGTTCAAGAAATTAGGCCATAGTTATAGGACCCCAGTGTTGGAAGGGACTTCAGGGATCATATCATTTAATCCCTGCTCAGTGCATGTTCTGCTAATGCATTTCAGACAATTTCTCTTTCGAGGGCTCCACTGAGGGGAGCCTGTTCCACTAATTGATAGCTTTTACCCTCAGGACAATTCTAATACCTAACATAAATCTACCTCCTTGCCATTAAAATCCGCTGCTTTTGGTCCTGCCCTGCAGAGGAGCAGAGAACAAGTCCCTTCCTTCATCTGTAGGACAACTCTTCAGATACCTGGACTGCTCTTGTGTATCTCCCCAGACAGTGGTCTGTAGGCTAAACATGCCCTGATCACTCTCTTCCGTGTGTGTGCGTGTGTGTGTGTGTGTGTGTGTACACTTCATCATTCACTCAAGCATCCATACACACACACAACCTTCTTCAACACTTGCTACTCACTACCTTTCTCAGTGACCTTACTGGAGCCTCTGGGTTTGGGGGAGCCAGGGAGAGGCTAATGGCTCTCCTGCCTGGCCTGCCTGAGTTGGATTCCTGTCATGAGCCCCCACCCCAATTCTGATTCCACCACCCAACTCTAGGATTCTCCAACCCCTCCTGGGACCCGGCTAGGCTTGATGGTGTCTTTCTGGATCTACTATAAAAGAAAGCTCGGTTTTTGAATAATCTCAAAATGCTCTGGAAAGGTGTCATTCTTCCAATTGCTTCTTCCCATTTATTCTTTTACCAGTCCCTTGAATTATTTTGGTAATTTGTTAAGATGTGAGATTTCTGGCACCTGTGAGAACTTCCTGTCCTCTCCCTCTTTCCTATTTTCCTCCCCAAATATTCTCCTTGTGGTGAGAGGGACAGGTGTTAACTATGTATGTGAACAAGACAGGATATGGATGCCCCCGTATTGTCACTAGAGACTGTGGTTACTCTCCCTTGAGTGGAACACTGAAGGGGGCAAGATCCACTCCAAGCCAGGCAGAAAGACAGAAAGATTTGCTCAGGAAGATTTCAGCTTATGCAGTAGCAGGAAAGGAACCAGAGGAAGAGTCTGAAGAGGACACAGCAAGTTCTCCAGAGCCATGGATGCTCCCAGGTGAGCTGGATCAGGCAAGGGCGCTCCATGGACAGGGCTGTGCAGGGCCAGGAGACGGGCCAATGTTCCTCGCCATGTGGCACAGAGATGCTGGGTGTCACAAGGCCAGCCCCAGGTCCTTAGATCTGCTCAAGACACAAAATTGGGTGGGACAACAAGAAAGCAGAAATGAGTCAAAATGGCCCTCAAGATTAGAGAAAGTGCATAGGTTTTACTTAGGATCCTCCATAATTCCTGGCCTTCAATAGATACTTGGCAGGTTTGAGGACAGATTTCCTCAGATTCCTGACTCACACACTCCCCCCCCCCAATTTGCCCTCCTTTTACACACAGAGATTTACTAGATGTGGCAGCCAGTAAACTCAAAGTGCCCATGATCCCCTCCTGGGGATTTCCCCTTTCTGCATCGCATTAGCTTTTTAATTTGTTTTTTCAAAGATTAGTTTATTTGCAAAATGAACCACAAAGGAAACCTGCAGGCTGGAGGGCTGCAGCCCTGCTTTCCTCTCCAAGGAGGCTCCCTTAGAAAGGAACGGCCACAAAATCCCTGCCACCCAGTGCTTGGTTTGGAAAAGGGTGAAATGGCATAACCTCTGGGGAGGGGCAGTTAAGGAGACTGACAGTTTCTTTCCAGAGTTTTTTTTTTGGTGGGGGGGGGCTAGGAATGGCTGCCTCCCTTATGGCAGCCTGTCTCTCCAGCACACCCCACCTACCAGTTCCCACTCTCTCTCTCTCTCTGAAAGCTGCACAAGGCTGGTGGTTCCAAGCCGGGTCACTAATGAGCAAATCTATCAAACTCTGCCCAGTGTAGTGATGCAATTAAAACTTTGCCCCAATTAAATCCAGGTAATTAACAGCACTGACATTTATAGAGTGGCATCTGTGCAGCAGCGGCAGGAGCGAGACCGGCCCTGGACAGCAAGCAGGAAGGGTTTTGCAGCAGGATCCGCCCATCCTGAGACCTGGGGGGGGAGCATCCCAGGTGGGGGTCACATCACGGTGCACTTGGCCAGGCCTGCCCACCCTCCCTTTGGATCTTTGTAGGCCAGCCCCAAGGAGCCAAGCTGCTGCCCCCTCTGTGGTGTGGGCAGCAGACTGCCTTCCTCAGCAGCTCCTAGGGTTGATCCCATCAGTGACAGAGCTGGGAGGATTAATCCTGAATCATCTCAGTAATCAACTGGTAGGGATTAAAACTCTTCCTTGCCTCCTGCAGCTCCGCCCAGCCACAAGGCCCCCGACCCCTTCCCTGCCTGGGCTCTGCTTCATGCCAGGGGAGGCTGCTCAGAACTGACCTTCCCAGGGACCCACTGCACAACCAGGGCAGATTGAGGGTGGAGCCCCCCACCCCCGTCTTCAAAGGAGGAGGGAGGAAAACTCTCCCACCCACTTTGTCAGGAGGAGCCGCCCCTTCTGTGCCCTGGCAAGATATTCCTCCTCAAATGGGCACCGCGACCCTCCAGCTGGATCCTTCGGGGCGGAGAAGAGC